TTAATTTAAATTAATTAAAAAAAATAATGTGTTGAAAAATGGAAATTAAAACATTAATTTGATAATCACTTATGGCCTAATTTGTGTAATGTAATGTGACTGTTTGCTATTAAATCAACATATATTTCTTCCCATCCAATGACTGTTTCTCTCGATCCGCCCCTGCTGAAAGGGTTAAACAGCCTTCTCATGTCAACAACATATATTTACGTGGAAACAATGAGTATAAAAACAGCCAGAGGAATACAGTTAATAATGGTCTACTGTACGTCCATATCGTCCTCAGTTACTTTCGGCAAGGACATACTTTTTTTGTATTTTAGAAACGACAACTTTAACCCTTGACTCTCACTGATGCTCAGTCAGTTAAGATAACGCAAACCACCGTTAACATTGTACGTTAACGTTACGTTACTAGCTACAAGCTATTGAAATATAAGTCCAGAGTTAAAATGAGTATGGCTAAACTGAACTGTGGCTCATAACAATTCACAGTTCAGTTGGTATTAACTCATGTTGTAACAACTGTATTGACATCATTAAGCAAACAGACATCTTTAAACACACATATTCTGAATGGAGTTTGGTAACAACCGTCTTCAAACATCAGAGAAAGAGCCTGTTGTGGATCAGATAGCTCATACTTACCAGATCGCCGCCCCCCATCTTGAAATATTCGTCGTTTCAGTTCAACAAAAATGGAAATATGTCCTTAAAACTATAAAAGGTGGAACATCAAAAGTTGCTAGAGAGCTAGCTAGAAAATGGAGCCACTGAGGGTTGTGTGAGATGTTTTATGTGTTTCCTGTTTTGTATGATTTGCTTTCCGGTTCCAGCTCATGCTGCCTTCAGGTACCCGTGGTAAGGATCTGATACTGCCATATTTCCATCGTGAATAAACAGTCAACGATGTGACTTGTTTTGGTCGAAATTAATAAAAATGAACGCTGTGTCAATGTTCGTGTTTTAGTGGTTGTTAATTAGTCACACAAACTGTATCACACAATTAAACACGCGTTTACCACCCGTCTGTCGAGACAACTTTCTGCATGGGCCATCCATATGTTTCATCTCTGAATTCTGACAGCCCCTAAAGCAAGCATCCTGACCCTGAACGCAGCAGTTTATATATAGTTTATGGCTTCTGGCCCTTATAAAGAAAGCAACTTTCACTCTTTGGACATAAGTTATTAAACATTTTTAGTTTAATACATTTATGTGTGTTGTATATATATATATGTATGTATGTATGTATGTATATGTACACTGCTCTAACCCAGTTGCCTAGCCATCACAATTTGGCCCTTGTCAAAGTCGCTCAAATCCTCACTTGTAACACCTCAACTTTGAAGACAAAAAGTTCACTTGCTGCGTAATATATCCAATGTTATTCACTGTCAGTGCTCACAATGTTATGGCTGATTGGTGGATATACAGTGTTTGTATCATATATTAGATATTACTGATATATGATACAAACATTTACAGGCTATATAAATAGCAAACTAACTACTATTACTACTACTAATGAATAATAAAAACAATAATGAGAATTATGTCTGCTGTTGTATTTGAGTGAAAAATGAAACTGCAGAGAGTATTTAATAATGAACAGACCCATCTGTTAAATAAAGATTCAACATGAACACAGAATATAGGTTTTTTTATTTAATAAAGGACAATAATAGATTAAATACAAGTTATCACACCATGATACTTAACTTATTAAACGTTTTAGAACTTATTTCATTACAGTCAACTAAAACATTTACTACAGCAACCAATTTAAAAAGGTTGTCCATCTTGTTCTAATGACCAACATAAAATACTATCTATAACAACATCAACAAAAAATAATAATAATAGTCAATACACAATAATTGACTAATGTTTAAGCAATGTCTTCCATTTTTTATCTTCTATACATAAATACAGCAATCGTGAGCCTCCAATAAGCTCCCTAATATATATAGAAATCTCAGCCTAATGTCTGTGATGGTTTACATACATCCTAATAGTGTTTTTAACTGTAAAGCCACTCACACTGCTTGCTACAGAACTATTGATCACATAATATTGATTATGAAAGTTAACTATTCAAAACAAGTAACCTAAACAATTTCTGATGCGTGTTGTTCAAATGCATTTTGTTTTATTTACTAGACTGCTAACAGTCTTTCTCTGCGTACTAATTCAGAGTCAAATGGTTGTAATGTTAAAAAAGAGTTTTCTTTATTTGTCAGAGTCAGCGAACGAGTTGTTATTTAAAAGTGTTGAGAGATGAGCCCCTCACACATTCTTTGTTGATGATTGGGACTACAGCTTGATCCGACATGCAAATTCAAGATTTTCTTTTACAGTAGGAAAAGCTGTATCAATGAATTCTTTTTGCCACTTGGGGGCAGCGGAACAAGCTGATAGTGACATATTAGCACTTTAAAAAGACATTATAGTGAGCTGGTTAACAAACTGTCACCTAATTACACATCCAGCAAACAAAACAAAAAGTTGGCATTCGTCTGGAGTTGTGTTTGGCCAATACTCTCTCTCCTTTTAGCTCGCTTTGGTCTTCATTGAGTGATAATTCTCTGTAAGTTCATCACTACAACCGAGTAATTTGATCCTTTGTTAATATGAAAACATTAATTAGTGCAGCGTTAAATCTTGAGTCCACTGGAGTAAACTACCTTTCTGGAAGTTTCGTTAAACACAGCAGCCTGTAGTGTTCACATGGTGGATCTGTGGAGTCGTGTTTATTGTTTATTGCATTTTGCAACAGAGACCAAGTTTCATTGGACGATGTCCAGCCTTGGTGATCATGACGCTGAGCTTTATCTTCTTGTTCTTACCTGCCAGAGTCGACGGCGTCACTGTCCTCAGCCACTCATTTTTTATGTTCAGTTAGTTGTGAGTTTATGTTTTTCACATCATTGTCACACTTAATGGTTGTTTGCATTGTTGCTTTCCATTTGGTAACCTGAACCAGTGTTCACATTCTCCTACTGTATGATCATTCTCATTAATTAAGTGTTTTGCCACCAAAACTATGGTGGTGACAGAAACACACTATTTTTGTAAATAGTAGTCTTTGTAGTTCATGAAACTCCCATTTAAAAAATATTATATCATATTATTTTATATTATATTATATCATATTATATTATTGTGTCAGCATTATGAGAAAGCATGATTGTCTGTTGTACTTTCATTTTACTTACATACCAACATACACACACACACATTTTTGTGGTAGGAACCGTCAACTATCCATATGGATACTGACGTTAATAAAACAAGAAAATGCTGTGTTATATTCCAGTGTCTTATCACAACTTGCACTGTAGACTACACACATATGGTGCCAGTGTGAGACAAAAACAAAATATCACTGTTTCCTTTCTCCGTTCAAAAGCACGCTGCCTTCGAAACTGGTAAATTAAACTGTGTTGGAGACAAACATTTCTCCAACTCTTCCAGTAACACACTTGATTCATTTAATTGTAAACAAGTTAACAAGCCACCTTCAGTTGATCTCATGCCAGTCTCTTGCTCTACTAGTAGTAGTGGCTCTAGCAGCAATCCAGCAACAAGCTGCAGCTTCAGCTTGGTTGCCTCCTTAGCCACCTTTCACTTTTAGTAAACAGAGGAAAGCTCTATCCACGGTAAAATTCCTGTTGTTTTTTCTGTGTGCATTTAGATTATCACTGAGCTAGCCCTACTTGTTAATTCACAGGACCACAGACGAACACTTTCTGTTCCATCTGACTTTCATCAGTAAAAGTTTGTCCAAACCTTTTTCTATTCTCTATTCTATCGTAAAACTATGACACCTCTATGACAAAGAGGGGAGCAAGGTAAACCTTTAACTGCAAAAATTCACTGAAAGTGATGAAATTAGCCGGACTGCCCTGTCACGCTGGAGACTGAGGGGTCTGTCTCACATTTCAGCTTCAGTGGGGGCTCTGTGGTGTCAGACGCAGACACATGTGAGGATGACTGAGGAGGTGTGGGTGCATCAAAGCCCTTATCCATCCTCCCATCTCCATTCACCCTCTCCTCCCCATGTCCTGGTGGGGACTCATGTGTGCGCATGTGCTTGGCCAGGTGGTCATTGCGCATAAACACTCTAGGACATAATGCACAGCTGAACTTCTTAGCGCCAGTGTGGGTCTGTAGGTGGCGCTGCAGTTCATCAGAGCGTGTGAATCTCTTGCCACAGAAGAGCCAGTTGCAGACAAATGGCCGGTCCCCGCTGTGCCATCGCAGGTGAGCCTTCAGATGGGAGGTCTTGGCGTAGGCTTTGCCACAGCCGGGGATGTGGCAGTTGTGCATGTGCTTCCTCCTGCTGTCGTCAGTGCTTTGGCCCAACTGCTCGGCATGGACGCAGTTAGGGCAGCGACACACAGCCTGGCCGGCACCTCTGGAAGAGGAGCGGCGCTGGGGCTTGGGGCGGGCTGAGACAACGTTCTCCTGTGGTTCCTCCATGGAGAACGGCTCTTGCTGCAGCATTTCAGGGGCCAGTGGCTCCATCTTGAAGCCATCCTGGGGGAAGAGGTGGGATGAGTGCGAGGTGGGAGCGTGCTGAGCTGGAGGCAGGGTGCACAGCTGCGGGTCAGAGCCGTAGGGGCCTAAAGAGGACTGTAACCCCATTGAGCTCCCTGGACTCACTGAAGGCAAGCCTACACCCTGCCCCGTCTGCAGGTCTATCCAGCTCCCTGGCTGGACATCCCTGTGGAGGTCCCACCAGGATGGCATGTTCATGTCTTCTGAGCTGCCACTAGGTGGTGCTGTCCGTAACCAAGGCTCGTAAGGGTGGGCCATGTGAGCAGCTGGTGCAGGTGCAAGACTGTTGATGAGGTCAGCCGCTGAAAGTGTTGTTCACGATCTTCTGGTTAAAGCTGAGAGGATTACCACATGATGGGATGGCGATGCATTGAAAAAACCTGCAGAAAGAAAGAACAAACAGTTATCTCTTCAAATCAGGTATCAGCTCAGCCTTCTTTCTCAGTGACTTCACTAAACCACATGACTTTGAAGTCCTGAGGTCATTTTTTTTCCAGGCTTTGAAATTACTCAGCTTCTGCTGATCTAACATTTTTGTACATCAGAAGTGCAGACACTCAGGCCTAAATCCCCCTGTCTACAACATTTAAATAACCAACCCCGAGCACACCTCCTTCATCGCCATGGATACTGCAGTTCTCACGCTGCGTGGCCGTGGAGACAGAAGAGAGGGGGAGACAGACATGTCCAGGCAGAAACCTGCCACATGCATCCGCTGCCAGGTACTTCCCATGGAGGACAGTCAAAGACAAGCGCAAAGAAAACAACATCATTGGCCCTGTGCAGAGGCAGCGGGGGGGGCGAGAGTGAAGGGGAGTGTTGACAGGAGAGCAGTTTGGTAAAGGAAGAAGTTCCAGGGAGGTATGGCTGCAGGCCAAAGTCTATTTGTACGTCTCTGAGGTTTTTGGAGATGAATCTTGGCAGACAGGAGAACCTGTTTTTTATAAATCACACATGATTTACAACAACAGCCCTCCAGGCAAGTTACAAAAGGAGCCCCGTAAAACACCCCGCCTCTTACACACTGGCGGCAGAAAGCATCAGCAGTTGCATACTGACAGCATTCAGGAGCCTGAGAATGGGAGTCCAACAATAACATGAGAACAATTACTTTATGTATATAATTATGGGCACACGCTCTGAAACAGCATCCTGTCCCGAACACACTCCAGATATGTACACTTGTGAACATCTCAATGGTGTCAGTCAGCAGGAGGAGGGGCTATGATTTCCAAAGGTGACATGAAGCTTGTTAAAGTCAGACAATTCTGTGGAAATTTATGACAAACTATCAGCCTGCAAGACTTGTGCTTGGCTCCAAACATGTCCTAGCCCCAAACAACTTGTTGACTTCCACCACACCCCCATCCTGGAACATCTACAATTATCTTTACAGCAGGAAACAGTAAAGTAGTCTGAAGCTTTAGAGGTATGTTAGTCTTGAGATCACTTACTGTGATCACTTACTGTGATCTCAAGACTGATACTGATACTATATCTCATACTATATCTGACTGCACAAGCTCGCCCAGAAACAAGCGGTCAAGCTTCAGTGGAAGACATACACATCTAATCTCCAGATCCATTCGCGACAGGCAGAGCGTGCACATGGTTCAGCATACAGGGGTTGTCACTCTGACTGACAGTGGACGATCTCCTCAGTAGATCTCAATTTGTTGAGTCAATACGGCCAAACCAAGAGGATTACACTTCCCCCTCAAAGGTTCAGTCAAACACACTCAGAGATGCTTTCTAGTCGCAATGAAATCGTAAAGCAATTAGTTTGGAATTCTCTAATGAAAGGTCTGGTGTTAAAGGTCAAGCTGATTTATTTCACTTCGGCCTGGAGCCAGAGCTGCTCTGTAATTTTTTGGGAATGCAACTCAGATGCACGGCGGAATGGTCCCGCCAACTCCGCTCCCACTGACATGACCGTAAACAAACGAAGACAGCAGCAGCCTCCTCTGTTCGCTAAAGTGCTGGGAGCGCTACAAGCTCCTGAGGGAAACAGCTGGTATAGGGGGGCCCCCAGGCGGACAGCAGTCTGAGAGGAGGAGGAGGATGGTACAGAGCAATGACAGAGCTGTGGTCATAAAACCTGCCCAACCAAGACCCAGCACAGCCCCCGGTTTACAAGCCTGCCAACGGGAAGAGGCACGGAGGGGGAATTTTTAAAAAGCAAGTGCAGTGTTCCTGAGTTTTAACATTTTTTGCACGTTTTGTTCTCACAAAGTTTATCTGTAAGCCAGCGTTTATGATCTGAGAGCCTAACGATTAAACCTTTCCAACATAAGCTGCCCCTTTTTAAACTATTAACCTGCTAATCTGCTGGTTTACACTGTTGCATTGATACATTCTTAAATCCATCTTCCAGAATAATTTACAGACCCAATTTAATTCTCATTTTAACCACCACAGGTCTCCTATCCTATCTCATCCCAGATGTGGCACAACAGTTAAATCAGTAACACTGACTGTCTGTGGACTGTCCAAACAAACTAGTTTGGGTCAAATGTCATCCACAAGTAGTTTTTTTTAACCTGCTTGGGGGACAAGATAGGTGGAGAGGAACACATCAGTTCAACAGGTGCCAGGTCATTTGTCAGAGGAGCGTACCACGAAGAGTTTCAGACACTTTCCTATTAAAATCAAAAACCTTTTGACCTTTGCTTAGTGCCCATGTGTGGAAAACTGCTTGACATCAGCACAAAAACTTTAAATATGTTGAAAAGAACTTCTGTAATGACCAAAGTCTGACCACAAACCTGTGAAGAATCTGCTGGGTACAATAATAAGGAGGAATAAACTTTATTTTTGCACATATAAGTGATTAGGTCAGTGACATATTAATGTCCTCTGTGCATCAACAGTATGAGTAAGTGTAGGGATAGTTGAGATATGGATGACAGCTTTACATCCTCAGTGATTTAGGAGCATCTGTGTGACAATGATTCTTACACAACTGCGTAAAATCTCTGCTTATTTTACTTCAATATCTACGGCAGTTCTCGCGACAGTAGCTTTTAACACCATTTTTGTATCTTTCCATCTCTTCTGAGTGCAACCAAAAAACTGTTTCACATCTGATTTACAAAGTTCAGAGTGGCCACTAACAGCCACTGTACAATAAGTGGAAGCATTTTTTATATCAAGTTTGGTACTCAGATTCTCGAATAAATTCACACAAGTCTCAAAACAGACTGCAGTTTTGTTTATTCAAACACTGACCTGCAACAGGAATCTCTTCGAATATAATAGTGTGCTCATTTGTGTTGTTTCAGTATTTATGTTGTAATGAAGATTAAATATCAAGCATACAGGTGGGATTTTATTTAAAATGAGATGTACAAAATGGGACACAAATTGAAATTTGATTTACTATGAAAACTGTCAAGATACGTATTGAATACAGTGGTGGAAAGTTACTAAGAACCTTTATTTCTGTACGTACTTCCGTACATTAGAAGTACTGGTTAAATATTTCCATTTAATTCTACTTTATACCGTATATATAATATATTACCCTTTAGTTTTATTTAACAATTACAATAACTTTTAAAATTTTACATACGAGACGTATGATCAGTTTAATTAAAATTATGCATCGTTATTATTTAAACTACCCAACAGTATATAAAGTAGTTAAGATTAACTTTATAGCCACTTAATTTAAAACATCAATAACAATGAGCCCATAATATGATAATGTAACACAGACAAATTTTTATTTTTGATTCTCTGAGTACATTATGTTGCTAATACTTGTATGCTTTTAAATTTTGAACATATACTTACATAGCCTACTTGTATTTTACTATTTACTATTTTACTTTACTTAAGTAAAGGATCATGTCCTCCACCACTGCGTATATATCTTATTACGACTTGCATTTGAAATACCACAGTTACGCCATGGTATTCTGATTAAAAGCCTTTCTATGCAAACACAGTAATGTAAACTCAAATCAGACTGTACAGATTGATATGCAAACACATTAACACAATAATGGATATTATTGAATCCCATCATGTGCACCTCCACTTTAATAATTAACCTCTGAATCTTAAGTCAAAATATTCTTCCTCTCTTGCATTTAGTGTAGACGACCACATATTTGTCTTTTAGTGTCGATTCTAGGAAATCTTTCATTATTCTCCAGTTTTAATCAACCACAGGGTTCCCGGGAATAATTCTACAGGAAACAAATCACAGCAGTCTACTTTAAATAAAGGAAACATTTTTAACAGGAAAAAAGGAGAATAATAATGACATTAGAGCAGAATTTAAAATGAACAGCAACAACCGGTGTCACCAGTTTTTCTCAACAGCATTATTGTACAGCTTACAGAAGAATTCTACAGGTATGATTCCCCATAATTTGTCAATTACTTGCTTATGAAACTTTTTTTTTATTTTAAGAAGGGAAAGCTTGATAATTATTTTATCTGAGTACATGATACATCCCATTGAAACTGCCCCTCCACGCCAACAGGTCAGAGTGTTGAATCTGTGCTACACAAATCAATAATCCACACTTATCTTTTATTATTATACCTGAAAACCTGGACTATATAGTCATATATTTCATATATATATTCATGTTTTATCCATGTGGCCAATATTCAACTTTCTTAACCACATGAATGCTTAAACTTTTCTCCAAAATACAGGACAAGAATTCAGACTTGACTTTTAGGTTTAATGCAGCTGGTATGGCCCCTTTTCTAGAAGATTTATGTATTTTTTATTTCTGTCTCCAAGTTAAAGGAGTTTTAGTATGTATAAAGTATGTTGTACTAAATCTGTTTATTTAGACTTTTTCTTGTCTGCTTTCAATATGAAATTACTTTGTATGTGTATCGACTTCCCTGTAGATGAATTGAAGCCTATAGGATGAGCCTATAGTCATAAATGATGAATAAAGTCATTTCTAGTAAAGATAATTTAGCTTATTTATGGTAATACAAACAGATAAGTACAGCTTACAGTAGGTCGCAGACAGTGATAGTAAATTCCCGAGTTACCTGTGGAGCTGCTGCTGTTGTTATTTTCTGTTTGGAATAAATACACCTTGGTTGGAGAAACTTAGTCTCAGTTCAGCTCTGCTACTTCTTCCCTTCGTCGAAAAAAGTGCACAGAAAGATAATATCCTCATCATATTTCATCTGATTTTCTCCATCGCAGACGGTCCAGGTGAGGCAACATTGGCGTTTTGGCGCACAGGTAAGCAGCGTTCTCAGGAGTGACAAACTTTATGATAGGCTGTGCGTCTTCAGTCCCTCCAGGCTCCGCCCTCCCTCCCTCCGCCGCTGGGTATAGTCCCCCTCTGAAGACGCGCCCTCCTCGGCTGCAGGTGAGGACAGGGCTCGCTTTGGGAAAACACGGGGATCAGTGGGACAGTCTGTAAGACCTAATTGTTTCACAGTGTGGTCAGGGGACCTGCGGTTGTCTCTGGCAAAAGAGGTTCCAGTTTTAACCTTCTGTTACATGTTTGTATTTAAATGTGCTCAAAATGCCCCCCTCACTTTATTGATATAAAAATTACACATTAATAAAAAGAAAATTGCTAATCATAATCATAACTATCTGTTAATGTTCCCATCAAACAGCAGACACTTCAGTTCAGTCCAGGACATGCATAAAACCATGTCGTTAATGTCAGTATGTTATTTTGCTCTGGAAGTAAGTAACTAGTAACTAAAAACTAAAAAGTGTAATTGTTGGAGTGGAAACACAAGTTTCTGATTTGCCAGTGCTAATCAATTAACCAAATCAGCCAGGGTGCCAATGGCATTTTTGGTCGCCCCCAATGTTGACTCCATGGCTACGGCCTTGAAAAGAAATACTACTGGTATAGTTTTTCCAATAGACATATGAGTCTATGGTGGAGAATAGCCTACGTTTACATTTAGCTTTCTTAAATACGATACTGAAGTGCAGTTCTGAGGTACTTTACTCACTTTACTTTCTACTCCACTACACATTTTGGGGAAATATTGTACGTTTTACTTAACTATGTTTATTTGACAGCTGTAATCACTAGTTTAGGTTATGATGTTACATTGATAAACTTCTAACATATACAGTCATACATTATTATTGATCAGATTAACCCAACAGTATAGAGCTTTGATTCTGACCCAATAAGACCCAACACCAAAACCCCCAAAACAATTGCCATAGGCCGGGGGCGGGTCGGGCTTGGACAGAATTAGATTTCTTTTTAAATATATATTTTATTAATAATAATTTACACCTAATGCACAATGTAGTTAACTTTAGATTGTAAACTATTTAAATTATTTATTTATTTCGGCTTCAGGTCGGGCTTGGGTCCAGAACTCTTTTCATGTGGTATTGCTTCTTTTACTTGATTCTTATTTCACTGCTCTCAACAACGTAAGAACAAAAAGATCCAAAGAACAACATTAAACAGTGGGGTCTTTAAACAGAGATCATGTAAGAGTTGAAGTATTCCTGATCTGCACCAGCTGGAAACTCTTTTATTCATCAGGATGTATATAGATAAATATAATAAAGATTTAGTTAAAAGAAAATTGTTTTTACAGCTTTTTTTTTGCATTAAAGTTATTGATCTACTTATTAGCTTTTTCAACTTACTTTCTTTAGTTTTTTCCTATTCCTAGTCAACCTTCAGAGTTGATACCTGGTCAGTAAAGTTAATGATAACAATTACTTAATTTCTACAACACTTTTCTTTCAAAACTACAAAGCATTTTATCATCATTAACAAGGCCCAGAACCCCAAGTGACACTCCTTTTGGTTTTTCTATCCTGCACATTGTAAATATCTTTCATGTACATCTTTTTCTCTTTATCTTTATCTTTATTTATTTCTATTTTTAAAAGTACTTTTAAGATTTTTATGCACCAACACACGAAGGCAAATTCCTTGTATGTATAAAAACTTACTTGGCAATAAACCCAATTCTGATTCTGATTCATTTGGGGAACCCAGCAGCTCACTTTGTAGGGTGTGCACCCAGTGTACTAAGGCAGAGTCATCACCGTAGCGGCCTGGCTTAAATTCTCTTTCTCCCTCTCTTTCCTGTGGATCTTAGGCTGTCACTATCCATTAAAGGAGGGTTCGAAATTAACCGCGGCCTGAAGACCCAAGTTTTATCCCCCCACAGGAGTTTAAGTGGCTTCACATCAAAGGACATAATGTACTGTGGTGTGTGACACCGGTTTCATCAACTAGCCTCAATTTTTGGGCCACCATAAACGTACTTTGACCACCAAATTTCGGGGCTTGGCAGCCCGTGGGGCCAATGCCTAAAAGTATTAGTGTCTGTTCCTACTTTAAAGGCATTGTCACTTTGTCACTTTACACACTTTGTCGTGGTTATGGTGATGTACCAAAATCAAGATCAAGCTTTTTGCTCTGTGCAGCAGTGGTGCAGTAACCTGGTCAGCGCAGTGACTGCAGCCTGTGAATCAGATAGTTGAGACCTGGAAATCCTTTGATTGCGGACACTCCTGAGAGGTGGTTTGGGCCGGGCCAAAACACAGGCACAATACACAGATCTGGAGATCTTACTTTGCAGTGAACAAGCACCAGTTCTGCTCATCAAACGATGTGAACCCTTCAGAGAATCAGTGTCTCACATGAACTGTTTTTAACACGACTAAACTGCTACAAAAGGCTTATTGTACGTGCCAAATGTTGAATTGCTTGCGAGTCTTGTAATATGTCAGAGTTTAATGGACTGCAGTGGCTTTGAATGTGCATCACACATTTAATAGTTTTTTGAACATCATCTTCCTTTGAGGCCCTTTTCTTTTATTTTGTCTCCTCACTGAGTTAATTCCTTTCCTGTCACAGCATGTTGGTGGAGCAGCTTCAAATCAACTGACAAACACAGACCACAGACAAGCCGGCGGGAAGTGACTTCCTACCCACTCTGCTCCTCTTTCTCTGAAGCAGCACTTTACAAATGCTGAGTTTGAAATGATTACACAACGGCCATATAATGGAACCACAGTGTGATCAGCAAATATTGGTTGACTCTTGATTTAACACGCGCCTTGATAGATTTATACACACCTTCAAGCCATGAAGAGTGATCTTGCTAATCAGGAAACGTCGTTTGCATGAGCAGATTACTTAAACAGCAACGGCAGAGCATTTTGATATTCACACATAGAACATTTAAACATACTTTGACAAATGTATTGCCGGCACATGTAAAACCTAGTCAAAATTGAAATTAGTATAATGTCTCAGTATCTCATATCTTCCAGTATAATGTACTTGTACACATAGAGGAGATCAGGCCACTGAATTGAAGACCACACACCACGTCTAAATGTTGTTTACCAGCGTCTTTAAATAGTCAAGCATATTTCCTCATGAATACAATGCAGCACAATCAGAGAGAGACTGCTTAATAACATTTAATTACAGTGCAATTTCAAGTAGGGGCTTACAAATTCACCTAATGATATAAATGTGTTTAGATAGCTTGTTTGACAGTTTTTATGTCTGTTACTGCTTAAATATTTTTTGTATAAGAATTTATGCTGTGTGTACATGAAAATGTTTGTGGTTCTTTAAACACTTTTGCAAGGAGGCTTTTCCTGAAGTACTGACTTTACTCTTGTCATCTCTCCAGCGAAACGCCTGTGAATTTCAATGTGGTGAAGTAACATCTATTCATATGACTGCAGCACCTTTGACCTTTACGTGTTAACGTTGTTGTGTTCAGGCCAAACCCATCCACCTACAGGATACTTCTTGCTAATCACACTAGACAGCACACACAATGTGCTGTCAACAGTGTACTGCTTTGGCAATCAGTATAAAGACATAAATGCACTATGCAGTTTTACTATGAGTAAATTATACAGGGTGTGTGCTTACAGGTGTCAATCAAACTGCAATTTTAAAAACTTCATAAATGCTAGTGAAACTGTTTTGACAAGGAGTTGTTTATTACTTTATTTTAGGGTTTTATTACTTTATTTTAGGGTGTTTGACAGTGGCTGCTAGAGCCATTGCTCCACGAAAATGTAATTGTGAGTTGCACTATGTCTATCAACACAAAAATCCCAATGCAGTCTCCCTTTTTCAAATTTGTGTGTTGAGAGACAACATGATACACTCCCTCCGGGATTTCACTGGCTTTTTTTTTTTTTTTTTTGTGGCCTAAAATGATTGATTTCGTGACAACTTTTCGAAAAAAAAAAAAAATCAATGCAGGTTGCAATGTTTTTAGGCATGTTATTGCAGGAACTGGTTACAACTCATTAAAAATCGAAGGCAAC